ACACACACACACACACCACCACCACCACCACCCACCCACCCACCCACCCCACCCACCCCCCCCCCCCACCCCCCCCCCACCCCCCCACCCACACACACATACACCATACACACGCATACACTGTGAGGTATGTCTCAACTAACCCCAGCTCGCTCTCAGCCGGCGTACCTCCCGGCTTGGCTGGCACCTGGCTCAAAGGGCGCCAACAGGACACGCGACAGCGCGGCAGGCTCTCATCGACGGGGCGGGACTGGGTATGGGCACGATGACGGTGATATTCGCTCTCGGTTTGAAAAGGTCGAACAGAAGAGTCGGTTGGCTGCTCAGACGGCAAGCTATGGGCAGAGTCAGGCAAGACTCTCCTCTGCGCCAGCATCATCAGCCAGCGCTGCGCCAACAAGCCACGGCGGAGGCTCGTCGCCGTCACAGCGGATCTTTGCAGAGTCCCTCTCGCGGATGAGAGGCGAGGCTGTCCCAGCCTATGCACCGCCTAAGCTCGAACCGCTCCCACCGCGCACAGATCGCCCGCACATGCCGCCGAGGCAGCCGCTGGCATCAGCAGGGCTCGTGGCGAGCGCACGATTGACACGGAGGCCCGCGGCAGAGGCGAGCGAGCGGGTGCTGGCAAGCAGACGGGCGATGAGTCGCACAGCTGCGGCTGTCGATCCACTCGACGCCAGGCGGAGCAGACGTGGAGGCCCAGCACCAGGGCCACCAGCGGCGCCGGCGCTAGCAACACACATGGCGCTGCAGCCGCCGGTCGGCGCCTCGCTCAACACGGCAGCGTCGTCAACAGCGGTCCTTGCGGCACAGATTAGATCCGAGGGCATTCGGCTCTCGCCTGATGTGCGGAGCCAGGTGGCACGGACCCGTGCTGCAGTCTCAGCCGCCAACTCGCGCATTGCCGAGCTCGAGGCCCGCTCGCTGTGGGACACTCCGCCGCGGTCGCAGCCGCTCGGCTCGGTCCCGCACATCCTGGCTGTTGATGGGAGTGCACCGACGTTTGCCCAGCTGAAGCACGCTATTGCGGCCATGTCGCTCTCCCCCTCGCCTCCGCGTAGCCGGCCAGCAGCGGCGTCGGCGGCGCTGACCTCACTCGAGGCGCTCACACTCTCAGCCAACATGGCGGCCAGCTCAGCGGCATCCGCTGCCATCCGCTCGTCGCGGGTGCCGGCGGCACGGCCGCGGCCGCGGATTTCGCGGCGTCCGCCATCTGCTCCGTCGACCGCCCCGCTCCGCCCGTTCACCTCCGCCCGCCGAGCCGAGTTCTCGGCCGACGCCGCGCTGGCGTCGTCGCGGGCCGCAGTCGCCGCGTCGTCGCTCCGGGCCCCGCTCTCGCTCGCGGATCTTTAAAAGAGTTTACATCTGTACACACAGCTTGCTAGCGGTTGACGGGAGCCAGCGGCGCCCGTCGGCATGGCGGCGGCGGCGGCTTCCACAGCTTGAACGTCGGCGCTGCCGCCGCCAGCTCGCGAGTGGTGAGCATGATGGGCGAGCCGGTCGGCGCCCGCAACTGCGCCCGCAGCGCGGCCGCCGCCACCGAGTGCGGCACCGAGTCCGGCGAGCGCGACGAGCTGCTCGGCGACGGTGTGGCAGGAATGGCGGCAAGGCCGATGGTAGTCGACGAGTCCGAGGCCGAGCCGAGTCCGTCGTCTGTCTCGAGCTCCGAGTCGACAAGCGAGTTGTCGTCACCCGGCGCCAGTACATCGATGGTCGAGAAGCCGTCGTAGCTGTCTGTGGCCTTGCTCTCAATCTCGGTCGAGCCGGACTCGGTCTCGGACGACAGCGCCGCGTCGTTGCGGTACTTGGCGAGGTACGGATCGTGGCCGTGTGGATGCACAAACTTGGCGATGTGGCGCTCGTCGATGTTGAAGCACTTGATGCCATACTTGCACGTCGGCTTGTGGACAGGCTTGCGGACCCGCCGACGGCTGCGGGATGCTGTCTTGGTCTTTGCTTTGGCCTTAACCTTCTCGTTTGGCTGCTCGCTCCCGGCCACCATCGTCTCAAAGTCCGAGTCCGACTCGGTCGCCCCGTCGATGCCGCCGGCGTAGTACGCCGCGAGAGCGTCAGCCATGACGGCATTCTGCTCCCAGTCCGCGTGAGTCGCTTCATCGATCAAGCACGTTGCCGCCAGCAGGCTATCCAGGCCGTAGACGTACCTTTTGATTCGCTTTGATGCCGACAGCCTTGCACAGCTCCTGGAGCTTCCTCCGCGGCAGGCCACGAAACATGCTATAATTCCCACAAGTGCGTGTATCTATGACCGTTCGGCGGTGGTAGGCCTTATGACACGCAGCTTTCCTGCTACGGTGGCAAGCGCGAGATTGGTGGCTGGCTGGATGAAGACGCCGAGGTCGTTGGACGTGCCTGGGGTGAGCAAGTGGAAGTGGCGAGTGGTACGGAAAAAGTTCAAAAATTTTGAATTGCGCGCGAAAACGTGTCCCTCGGTCGAAAGCTCGCCAGTCGACAGGCGGGCGCGGTGGTTGACGAGCGCGGGACAGTGAGAGAGTAGCAAACGGTGACAAGGGCGAGAGAGAGCAAACACTTGGCGCGTGACAAAGACTCGACGGCTTGTTCGACGAGACGTTAGCGGGAGTGTACGGGTGAGCCATGAACAACGATCTTCTCGGACGGATCTCCTCGCTGCGCTCGCGCATTGCCTCGGGCGGCTCGCCTCCCCGTCCACGCCGACCGAATCGTCGCCTGCAGGCCAGTCATGGGCCCCGCCGCCGGCTCGGGTATGGGTCGAGCGCAGGACCTCCGGTGGCATCTTCATCGTCGTCTCTGGCTTACTATCCATCGCCCGTGACGTCATCCATTGCAGCGTCGAGCTCGGCGCTCCGGTCGTCGCTGCTAAACACGTCGTCGGTCCCGCCGTCGTCGCCGCCGCAGCGACATGCGCCGCAGGCAACGGTGCCGTCGCCGGTCCGATCTCCTCCGGTTTCCTCTGCTAACGACGCCGACGCGTCGACCTCCCTACTGTCAGAACTCTCAGTCCTGCGATCGCGACTCGAGTCACTGGAGGCTGGGAACTCGGCGTTTGCGGCGTCGGCGTCGGCCAAGGGCCCTCGGCCGCAGGAGAGACCGCCAACAGTGGCGTCATCACAGCCACTGACTCTTGAAGCGCCGCCGCAGTCGCGGGTGGTAGGCGATGGTGCCGACAAGCCGAGCGCCGCCGGGTCGGAGCAGGCCGAGCTTGAGCGCGCTGTGCGTGAGCTCGACGCCGAGCTCACCAACTCGGAGCTCTCGCTCGTTGATGTCGAGAAGGAGCGGCTGATACTCAAGTCACAGCTGCGCAAGGCACTTAAGCTCCTTGCCATGCGCGAGGATGAGCTCAAGAATGAGCGCGAGACCGGCAGCGCCGCGAAGGACGACGCCAGCAAGCTCCGCGCCGGCCTTCGGACGGCGCTGGCCAAGGTGAAGGAGCTCGAGAGCAGCAACACCAAGCTCCACGCCCGCAACGAGCAGCTTGCTGATGAGCTGCGCCAAGTTTCCCGTGCAGCTGCAGCGGCGGCAGCCGAGAAGCCGGTTGCGATCGCGGCTGCCGAGCTGGAAGCTGAGCGAGCAAAGATGAAGCTCGAGACAGTGACAGCCGAGCGCGACGCGGCCCGCGAGTCAGCAGCCGAGCTCAAGGCCTCGCTTCTCGAGGCCGTGCGGTCGGCAGAGGCGATGCAAGACAAGCTTGCGGCGCTGGCCAGCGAGCGCGAGGCGGCCAACCGCGAGCTGGCGGTGGCGGCGAGCGCGGCCGAAACGGCGGCGACACGGGCGCGCGACGACGCACAAACCATCGCTCAGTTGCAGGAGAAGCTCAACGGCAAGAGCAGCGAGGTCGAGCGCGCTACCGGACGGGTGGCGGCGCTGGAAGCGCAGGTGGCGAGCCTGAAGGAGGAGGCGTCTGCAGCCGGTAGCACGGCGGCGCAGCTGAGTGAGGTACAGGCCCGGCTGCAGAGTCACGAGCTGGACATGATGCGGCTCGACGCGCTGCGGACCCAAAGCGCGGCGGACAAGGACGCGTTGGCGTCGCTTCGGTCGCGCAACGACGCGTTCAAGTCCAAGATAAGTCAGCTGGAGGGCCAGCTTGCGCGAGCCGAGGCTGATCTCGACAGCGCCAAGCGAGATGCGCGCGACGCACGCGACTCGGCCACTGCTGCCAGCGAGCGCATTGCTATGCTGGAGCGGGCAGTCGAGGACGCACGTGGAGCAGGCGACGAGACTCGTGAGCGGCTGTCGGAAGCGCGGGCTCAGCTCGCCGAAAAGAGCGAGCAGCTGTCTGAGGCCAATTCGCTCCTCGAGATGGCACAGGTGGAGCTCGAGGAGCGTGGCTTTGAGCTGGAAAACAGCAAGCTGCGCTCGACGAGGGAGCTGCGCGTGTGGCAGAGACTCACGCGGCAGTGCGGGCGACCAATGAGCGGATCCGCGAGCTCGAGGCGCACGTTGCGGCGCAGCACACGCAGCTGACCAACTTTGCCGAGTCTGAGAGCCGGCTGCTAGGTAAGATCAAGGCGCGCGACGAGGACGTGGTGCGGCTTCAGGACGAGGTGGCCTCGCTGGACCGTCTTGTTGCCGAGTACAAGACGCGCGAGAAGGAGTTGCTGGCGACGGCGGGCCAGTTTGAGGCTGCGCTCGAGCGGACCGACGTCCAACTCACGGCGCTGCAGACCGACTATGATGCGCTCGCTGGCAAGGCTGATACCGACGCAGCGGCGGTGAAGTCGCTGCGGACCGCGCTCGACGAGTGCCAGCGGGCGCTAGCGGAGAAAGAGCAGCGGTTGGCCGACGTCGAGTACGAGCGCGAGACACTGGAGACACAGCTGGCGTCGGCGCGGGCTACAGCAACCAACGCGCGCAACGACGCTGCGGGTGTCGAGGCTGAGCTTTCAGGCAAGGTCAAGTCACTTGCTGAGGCGCAGGCGCAAATCCAGAGCCTCTCGTCGCAGCTGCACCAGGCACAGGCGCTGAGCGCGTCGGCAACCGAGGAGCTTCGGGCCGAGCGCAACGCGCACGAAGCGCTGCGGCGGAAGCACTCGGCGCTGCTGCGGCGCGAGCAGGCCGAGGCCGACTCGCTGCGGCTTATGGCGCTCGGCACACAGAGCGCGCGGAGAGGCGGGCCGCGGCTGCGATCACCGACGCGCGGGAGCACGTCACCGCGAAAGGCGGCGGTCTCTGTCTCGAACGCGGCGCTGCAAGCGCGGGTGGAGATGCTCACCGGTGCGCTGCGCGACCAAGTCGACTCGCTGGTCTCCGAGGCCAACGCCCATGGTCTGTGAGTTGTGTTTGTTCAGAGGTCAGTGTGTACAGCATGGCTCCGAGCGCGGATCGAGTAAACAATGAGCGAGACGCCAAAAGCAAAGGCGACGACGAGGACAAGGAGCAGCAGAGCCTTGCGGATGCCAGTCCGAGTGACATCGAGCTCGCGGCGCTGAGCCGGTGGTGATGTGGGCTGGCTGGCAGTGACGGCACGGGCAGCAGCCCGTTTTGCGCCACGGGTGACCACAACCGGAACGTCTTGATCGCTGTCGACGTCGTCACCAAGCTTGGCCGAGTCCTCTGGCGACACCGCGCGCCCGTCGACAGCATCGATCTCGTTCTTTCCCTTTGAGCACGTCGACAAGCGTGCATCCTGGCCTGAGCTCAATGCCGCCGCCTCCTCTGCATCCTTCTCGTCAAGCTCTTCCAGGCGAGACTCAACAGCAGACTGCATGGCGGCGGTGTAGACAACGAGCGTGAGCTCAGAGACGGTGGACTGAATGGAGAAGATTTCATCGCGAATGGCACGAAGACGAGCAAGTTGGGGATCTTCATCAGGTTGAGCAACCGGAGCCGGATCTTCACCCAGGACAGCTTTCAGCTGAGCCACTTCAGCTGCAAGGGCATGAGCTCGCGAGGTCAGCTCCTCAATCTGCTCCACGGCTCCTCTCGCAGTCACTTGGTGCTCGCCACTAAGCGACGAGAGCATGCGTTCCATCTCGCCTTGGCTGTTGTCGCACTCATTCTCCGCTGCCGAGCTCATTCTGCCACAACGGGGAGAGGTGGGCTGAGTGCTGAGTGGCGCTGTCGGGTGGCGCCTGGCCGGGGCAAGGCGACGAGGTCGGTTTGGGGGGTTGGGAGTTTTGGAGGGAAGAGGGCGTTGACGTTTGATGGGCAGGCGAGAGAGGAGCAGATGCATGGATGGATCAGGCATTGCTCTGGCGAGGAGCTTTGCGACGCTTGCGGCGGACGCGCTGGACGTACTGGCCCTTGGCGTTGATGGTGATGGCCGGGGCGGCAAACTGGGCATCGTAGAGGGCCTCGCGGAGTTCGCGCTCGCGCTTGTTGGCCATCTGGGCCTGGAGGACAGAGACCATCTTGCGGCTGTTCTCCTGCTCGCGAATCTTGGCCTCACGCTCTGCGGCGGCGGCGGCGACGTCGCGCTCGATGGCGGTGCGGGCGTCCTGGATGTCTGCGAGGCGCTCACGCATCTCGCGGTCCTGCTTGGCGGCCATGTTGGCCTCCCACTCGGCCTGAAGCTTGGCGCGGACAGCGGCGCGGTGCTCGTTCCAGTCAAAGTTGGCGGTTGAGTTGCGGGCATCGACGTCGCGGGCACGCTGGGTGTCCTCCTGCAGCTCGCGGAGGGCATCCTGCATGCGACGCTCGCGGGTGAGTGCAATCTGGGCTTGCAGCTCCTGACGGTACTTTTCTTGCGCGGAGCGAGCAGCCTCGGTCGAGTACGCCGGCTTGAGCGGAAGAGAGCCTTCGTAGTGGACGGCGGCATCAGCGGCGCGCTGCCGCAGCTCGCGCTCACGGCGAGCAGCAATCTGCTCCTGTAGCGTCTGTGCGAGCTCACGCCTGTCCGAGTTGTCGGCGTATGTGGCGGTGAGCGCGTCGCGCTGCGCAAGCACCTCGAGCCGGCGGCGCTCAGCCATCTGCTCGGCGTAGGTGGCCTGGGCCTCGCGCCGCTGACGCTCTTCCACTTGCGCCAGCTGGGCCTGAGCGGCCTCGATTTGCCGCTGCTTCTCGGCGGCAGCGCGGGCGCGCTCGGCGGCGGCAGCAGCGGCGTCGCGGCGGCGCTCGTTCTCGGCCTCCTGCAACTCGAGCATGCGAGCACGCGCTGTGGCAGCCTGCTTCTCCTCAAGCATGCGCTTGTTGAACTCGAGGACCTTGCGCTTCTGCTCCTCCTGATACGCGCGGAGCTCGGCCTGCGGATCGGCAACAACCACGTCTTCAAAGTAGTACTCAAAGTCGTCGCTGGCACCGTCAGAGGAAGGCGCCGCCGGGGCAGTCTGCTGGGCCCGAGGAGAGTGACGATGCTCGTACTCGGCCTGCGCCTCGTGCGCCGAATCGTACACCGTTGCCGGGCCAGGTGTCTCGGCTGCATGGCGTGCGCGGTCAGGTGCCGGTGTCTCGGCCGTGCGGTACTGGGCCTCGACCTGGGCCTGCTCGTATGCGGTCTGGTGGTGCTGGGCCTGCTCGTACGCAGCCTGCTCGTACGCAGCCTGCTGCTGCGCCTGCTCGTACGCAGCCTGCTCGGCCATAGCCGCCTCGTATGCAGCTTGTTGCTGCAGCTCGTACTGTAGATCGCGCCGAGTCTCCATGTGGTTCTGTGCAGGCGGCGGAGTGGCAGCGACAGGCGGTGCAGGCGGCGCAACGGCGGCGGCGGCGGCGTCCTCCTGCATCATGGCGGCAAAGGCACTGGGCGTGGCCAGCGAGCCGCGCTGGAGCGCCTGCTTGAGGCCGAGATAGGCGTCGCGCGAGAGTGAGCCCATGGCAAGCTTGCGGCCCTCCTCGATGTTGCGGGCAGCGTGCTGGCTCGCCGACTCGCGCTCGTTCTCCTGCATCAGCTGGGTGGCGCCATGGCGCGAATGGCGTGGCGGCGAGTAGGCCTCACGATACGCGGTCAGTTCATACATGCGATGAAAGTTGGGATGATCCGAAGGAAGACCAGCCGCTTTGATGGCCGCCGCCTTTTCCTCGGCCGTTCCGTTGATGTAATCGATGGGTCTCACCGAGGGCATGAGGATCTTGGTCCCGTTGGACGGCGCGCCAGTCCTGGCAGGCGGCATCGGCTCGGACACGCCAAAGTGACTGCACTCACGCTCAACATGAGCATCCGTTAGTAACCGTCTCTCCAGCAACCTCACCTGCCTTATGTTGTCCTTCCCGGCCCTCTGTAGCGATGCTCACGCCATTGCCAATGTCCTCGCTGCTCGTCACAGCTTTGTCCGTTGGCGCGCCAAGGTGACGCCCAACACGCACAAGGCGCTACACACTGCACACAACAAGCCACCATCATTTCCACGCGACTATCCGCGAGCAAAATAGGCTAGCGTATGTCAATGTCAGTATGACGAAATACCTTGGTATGCTGAGTGTCTGCTCCGCATGCTAGCTTAGTTAACGTACCCGAGGAGGTCGAAAGCCATCGGCCAAAAGTTTGAAAGGCCGCGACGAGTGTGAGTGTAGGCCGCCGTGCCAGCGAACCCAACACGCACCAGCCACCAGCCTGGTGATCGAGTAGCATACACGCTCCACGAAGCGCGTGGATGTAGCTCAGTTGGCCCGGCGGTGGTGAGGTGGGATCTTGGCTAATAGCTGCCGTGGCTTGATAGTTGCTCTGCCCCAGCCCAGCTCTAGTGTCCAGCTTCGATGACCGTTCAGAACGAGGTTGGCCAAGGCAGCAATGGAGCCGCGTGTCTTGATCACGGCTGGACTACGACCATGCAATACAGTGCGTTGTGGTGTAGATCAACCGGAAAAGCCCTCTTCAGCCGAGTCCCGGGGACAGGGCTGCAGTCTGGCCGCCGTAAACGCTGCAGTTGGCAGCTCAGCAGCTTCGACCGCACACTCGTCGCCTCGTTGGAGCCATCTACACGAACATGAGCGAAGCACAAAGTCAGACAGTGGAGCATGAGGGCGTCCAGGTCACCGCAGTCTCACAGGGTCTGATGAAAGCTGTACGTGCCGTGAGTGATGGGGTGGGGGGGGGGGGGAGGGTCTTTGCTGAACATGATCATGTCCATGACCATGATCATGATCATGATCGCGATCGCTCTGCACCGGCGACAGACTTATGACGCATGGCATGGGGTACAGCAAGGACCTGACGGCGAGTTCAAGGTCAGCGGATACCACGAGTTCAAGGTGATCATGATCGCGATCGCTCTGCACCGGCGACAGACTTATGACGCATGGCATGGGGTACAGCAAGGACCTGACGGCGAGTTCAAGGTCAGCGGATACCACGAGTTCAAGGTGACTGGGGTGAACACGACGACGACGACCAAGACGCTCAACGCGGCACTTGTGCTGACATCTGAGGCAGCTGCGGCGGCCGAGGCCGAGGCCAGCAATGAGGCCGGGGCGAGCGAGGGCGGCGACGGCGGCGACGGCAAGAGCGAGGAAGCCGAGGCGAGCGGCAAGGGCAAGGGCAAGAGCGGGAGTGCGGGCAAGAGCGAGCCGGGCGAGGTCGGGCGTGCAGCAGTTTACATGGAGATCGAGTCGGGCAGGGAGGTCGTGCTCACCATTGTGGTGGAGACCAAGAACCAGGAGCCGTTCGATGCATTCCAGATTGCAGTCGAGGCCGTGTATGAGTTCTAGGGTACGAACAAGGTGCAAGGAGGTGGCAAGCAGGAGATAAAGGAGGCGTGGCAGGCGTGCTCAGCTGGTGAACGAAAGCAGAGCCTCGAGCGCCTGGCGGTCGGCGGCCGAGGAGGAAGCAGCAGTGGCGGCAGCCGGTGCACAGCGCTTGCGCTTGCGCGACGACTTGGGTGATGCTGTTGTCTTGGCCTGCTTGGCTTGCTTGGCCTTCTCGGCCTGCTTGGCCTGCTTGGCAGGTGGGAACGGGCGGGCGGGCGGCAGAGCAGACGCCGGTACAGGCGCTGATTGAAGCGGCGACGGTGCCGGCATGGTGTGCGGCGGGGCAAGCAGCGGAAACGCGTGCTGACCTTGATAGACAGGAGGAGCAACAGCGCTCTGGGCCTGCATAGCCATCATTGAGTTCGACGAGGAGGGCGTGCCCATAGACATCATGCCCATGGCCTGCGACGAAGAAATGTACGAGCCAAACTGCGACGAGAGCATCTGCTGCGCGTGCATCGGGTTGCCAAACGGCGATGGCGACGACGTGGGATAGAGCGGCTGCTGCATGGTTCCCATGCCCATCGACATGCCGAGTGACGAACCACCCAAGCCCATCATGTACAGCTGCTGCGCCTGCTGCTGCGCCTGCTGCTGTGCCTGCTGCTGCTGGCGGATCCACTCGGCCTCCTTCAGCCGCTGCAGCATGAGCTGTTGCTGCTGCAGCTGCTGCTGCTGAAGAATGAGCAGCTGCTGCGCCTGCTGCGCCTGAGCATGGGCTGCGGCCTGCGCCTGCATCTGCGCAAGCTTGGCCTGTTGGGCCAGCTGCTGCGCCTGTGTCGGATGGATCGGCACCGTCGGGTTAATGTGGCCTGCGGCGGCAGCGGCAGCAGCAACGGCGGCCGGGAAGAGGGCGGCGGCTTCGTTAGGCGTCGGCACGTTGCCACTCTCGCCAGCCGTAACGCCGACCGCGACCGGGGCGGTCGGCGGAGTGTGCGACCGGTTGCGGACCGAGCCGCCGGAGGACTCGCGGACAACAGCAGCGGCGGCGGCAAGACCAGCATCCGCCACACGCGCGCTGGTTGCCTTGAGAGCATGGTGTTGTGCCCTGTTGATGAGTTCTGAGAACGGCATGAGGTTCCACTTCTTTTGCCGCTTGGCCGGCGGCTCGTCCGGATCGGATCCCGACGCATCTGACAACGATTGCGAGATAGATCCAGGCGATCTTGCACCAAGTTGCGAGTCTTGGGGAGCAAGCGTAGTGGCTTGGCCCGAGCCTGAATGCAAGGCAGCCTTGGACATCATGGCTGCGTTCGGCCGTGGCAGCGGCGGAGCGAGGAGCTCGCTGTTGGCCCGCAATTTGCCGGTCTTCATCACATTCGCCAACGAGTTGGCAGCAAACGTAGAAAAGTCAAACTTGTCAACAACGTCCATGACAACAACAATTTGACCGGCTGACAATAGGGCGGGGGGGGGGGGGGGGG